CATAAGAGATTTAAGTTCTTGATTAAAAAGAATAGAGTATGTAGTTTGGTTGCCGAAAAGCCCTACAAAAATTCAATGTATTGTCGATCATTTGAATTATTCATGAAAATTCATGGCCCTTCAAAACATTTCCTAGGAAATTAATTGCCAATGAAATATTAACAAAACTAAATATCCGTAAAAAGAATATACTATGACATCCATTTTCTTTTTCTTTTCTTTTTTTTTGGGGGAATTCTGTTTGCCGCATAAAAAAACTTCAACTTCAATTCATATTAAACCAGCGCTGCATTTTGACAATAAAACTGTATCTCGCGGATGTTTCCAACTTCTTTAAGCCTAAAATGTTCACTATTTCGCGTAGCTGAAACTTGTAAATACTGCGCTTCTAACTGGGGACCAAATAGTGCGATACAAGAAATTGAAAACTAAAAGTTTGTATTACCGGGGACGGCTGTAGGAAGGGTGAATTGTTTTAGCCACCGGATAAACCCTTATCCAGCCGATAAAATCTATACAAAATCTAAGGAGTAGATATATTCATCCGGTGAAAAACGTCATAACTTAGTACAGCGTTCCCGAGTTATAAAGGACCGTTTAAACCGGAGATTTTTGTGGTCATGATTTTTAACCCTAGAGAATAATGCTAAAGAGTTAACTTGCAAACTTTAACTGAGTACAATGAGATGTGCTAACTATAAAAGTCTCCTCACGAGGATAAAACAAAATCTAATATATTTTTCATGAAAATCCCGAAAAATTGCAGCAAAAATCGCCGCAAAACTCGCCAGTGTAATCGTGCTTTTAGCCAAGTATTCCCCTTCAATTTTAGAGGAGCCGTAAATGTGTCAAGGTCGGCTAAAACCGAGAACTGCGAAGTCTTTTAGTGCTAGTTATCGCAAAATATTGCCTAGAGTTTTATTTTTGTGACTACTTTCTTCGTATTTCATCGATTCGCACCATCGTCTGAGTAACCAATTCCACAAATGTTAACTTGATATGTTTACATTAATATGAAAATAATCGCGAATTTCATTGAAAAATGTTGCCTGTTTCTGAGTGAATATATATTAAAAAAACATGTATTCTGCCTTAATTATAGCATCGCTAATATTATGTATATTAACTGATAATTACGCTTAAGGGCTGGAGGCTTCAATTAGCGATGACGCCATTAAATGACTTAAAATATCCCATCTAAAAAAGTAAATTCTTGAGTGGAACGAAGCTGGTGATTCAATGTTTCCATTACTCAGAGCACATAGTGTTTTTGTGGACTTAGTGGAGGTAAATTGAAGAATAAAGGTAGAAAAATAATAAATTATAATGTTTGCTTATATATAGCCAAGAAACACATTACAGCTGTGGATTGAGAACATTAGAAAGAAGGGGGTGTCCAMCTAAAGAAAACAAAATATTAAAAAATAGATTTGGGATTACGGAAAGCGAYATTTCATCCAAATTAACGCTCCATCAGTTGCTCTTCAGAGCAAATCCCATCCAGATGAGTTATTTTTTTAATTTCCTCATTAACTTTTCTGGTTTTTTTTAGTTTTCGCCTTTTGTGGAATCCTTTGAAAGAGGGGTTGGCTAGCTTCTCTTACCACCCCCCTGGATTCGCCACTGTATTACATAATGCACTGAAATAAAATTGGCATTACAACACTTTTCAACGTCTGATCGGAAACAGAAAAGACGACGCTTAAATTGTATTTAACAGTTCAAAATCCGCAAAAAAGAGGACAAATAACAAATATATGTGACATTTGGATATTGATTCGGCGTCAGAATGTTAAGACAATAAATCTAACACCGAAATTTCACATCCAGACGAAGAAAAAAGATYTAGAATGAAAATGATAATAATAAGAATAGGTATCATTGCTAGATATTGACCTGAATTGTTCTTCAAATACAAAAAAAAAACTAATTTTCAAAACCAAAAAAAAATTAATTCACCTGCACACAGATTTCTTTYATTATCTTGTATGGAAAATGGTGCTTATTTTTTTAAATCGGCATAAAAAGAGGGAATCTATCGAGATATTGTCCTAAGAAAGAAATTTATTTTTATATTAAAACATCTTATGATCGTAAATTGCTACCAAATACTCAGTTAGACCAATGAATATAAAGTAAACTTTGCATCTTTTCAAGAGCAGCGAGTTAGATATTAAAAAACATTAAAAAGAAGATTAATACTTATATTTAAATTAAAGACGCAGGATAGAAGGAATTCTTAATAATCAGCTGTTCTATAAGCTTCTGAATTTGGATTAAAAATAGCCTAACTGGACTTTGGAATATCCGTTTCTGAGAATCTGGAATATTGTATTGATCACGGCGGCGTTTAACAAAGGTTATTTGGTTGACAATAATAACGACTGCAACATATATTGACCTTATCASCAACAAATAGCATATAAAAAGTCTATAAACAAATAGAAATTATTTGTTTTTAACCAAGTCTGAAATYATTACTATTTTCAGTGAAGCGGCTGGCTTGTTGGGTACTAAAGTCGAGCTTTAAAAAAAAACTTTATGCATTTAAATGTTTCTTGTTTTTTTTTCTACCTGAATTATTAAATACAGACTTGGAAGTCGCACACGTTATAGATATATTAACTAACTTAGGAATAAGATTTTTTTTAAGCTGATTAAACGCGAATTTATATATCATCCATGATATACTTACGGTTCAAACGCGGAAAAAATACGARGAATTGATGTCCTTCTCACTTAAGAATAATTCAATTTAACTTGATATTACGCATAGAAATCTGCCTCGATTTGTGAGGTTCTTAATCTTAACCGACAATTTCGAWGTMTAACAGCCTACGAATTGACGCAAAGCTCAGCTTGATAGTTCCAGCGTTGTGCGAGGGTTTCGAGGCAATTTGTCCGGTGCAAGCTATATATATGGAGAAGAAAAAAAAAAACAAAATAGCTGATTGACACTTCAAGGGATGATAGAAAAACCTTTGCAGTTGATTAAAGTGTTTTTTTGTAAGGCGCCTTTTTCACACCGGGTTTTCGGAAGAGCTTGAATCTTCAAAATAGGCCATCAAGATAGTCTATCTTACGAGTCGGTTTAAATAAATTAAGTGATTCGATCCGTGTGCATGAGATCTATAGAGTTATTAAAGTCTCCCGTTTACTAATTTTTGCGTACCGCCTTTGTATATACAYTGGTTTTGTGTTGGAATTAGAATTAGCTCACCTACCATACCTTACTCTATTTTCAATGACATTCCCACTTTCTTTGTGTGATCTTAGAAACCCGACCAGGCAATATTTATACTCAATCGTTAATGCCTAACATCGGTTTCCTTAACACTGGAACACCACTTACAAAGCGATAAATACATATAAGACCAAAAGGTTTCCACACGTGACTTCCATAAATTAGTTTCATGAGCCAATCAMATTGCMGGCTTCTGATTGAGGCTCTTAATAGACCAATCAGGATTCAATTAGATAAAATGAGAGCTCGGGAAAGCGACTATTTCATTGGATAACAGAAATAAGCAGTTTCTTAATTAAGGGACTAATGGTCACTAATAGATTGCATAAAAAAAACTTGAAATTACGTCGCCGCGTGAAGCATGACATCATTAAATCACGTTTTTTCGTGCCTCTTTTAATTAGTCGTCTAGGAATCCATATTTGTAATTTTTTTTCCTGTTTGTAATTAATGCTCTAGCATTTTTAACTAGCATGAAATGCTATCTATATGTACGAAAAACTTCATAACGACCCTTATAAGGATTGTGTGCGAAGTTAAGTTTAAAAGCTTTTATGTTTGATAACATAAGAGTGAGAATACCAGTGTCTTGCCGTCACGTGCTATGATTTCACGTTTATACAACTAAATATTTCGCTTTTTTATTTATACATCTTACATGTCTTATTTATTAACATCGGCTTCCATTTTCCGTTCAAAGCAAAATAGCTGAAAACACATTCCCGAAAAACAGCCGCCTAATGTCCTTTCCGAAATATACGCTTCAACAAACCCAAGCGCAAGAATTTAGACGGAGTCTATCTAGCGTCGGCTCGCATTTTTCGRTGAAAGCAAAAGGATTATACCCTCGAAAAAACCTCCCACAAGAGAAGAGAGATTGTTAGATTAGCAGGACTGATAGGGATTTTTTTTTTCGTTTTTCGTTCTTAGAGATTAGCTAAAATACACTACTTTYATTATTGACGTAGAACCACCAATTGGCTTTAATTACATTTTTTGGGCTGCACTAAGTGAACGCCGAAAAGCAAAAAAAGAAAAAAAAATCATTTCATCGCTGTCAGTGATCATTTAATTACGCGTTGGATATTGGCATTAGTGTCTGTCGAGAATGATCAAGTATTCTTAAACTACTTGTGTGCTTACGAGTACTAGTATGCGATAATGTTATGAACTGGTAGCCACGGAAAAAACGAAATAACTCGACATCAAGACCGAAGGACATTCTGGGTATTCTATATATTTGAACCTATTTGCCGTAAAATGTATACCTTTTTCAAAAATGTCGGACAAAATGGCGAATGTCAATTGTCGAACGGCGATTGCACGAACGAAAGTAGCCATAGTTTTTGCTAATTGAAAGGAAATAGCAACTGTTTTATACTTTTTAGAAAGGCCCAATGTACGTAGACTTACTATGTTGTTTGCGAGCTTTACACTAAGTTTTTTACCTSSCYT